TCAAAATCGTTGTGACCTCATAAAACAAGTAAACAAAGGATAACTTAATAAATTATACAAATACTACTAATTTCCAACATAATGTTATAAAATATAGCGTAATTTCATAAATCGCTTCTAAATGAATGATTTGACTCTCTATTCAAGACTCAAGAACTTGATCGTACAATATGTAAAACAATCCTGTTCGTAACTGGTGTTCCAGATTTGTAAAGGTTGTCAATCATTGTTGTACCAGCTATTATAATTCCGTTAAATATTTTTATGTATTCACTTGTTGTTCAAATATCCCATTGCACAATTCCCCCTCTATTCAAACTGGTAGCGGTAGCAATTTAGTGCGGAACAGTTGCTCGAACAACGTCGCGCATTCAACGTCAGCGAAATCTGAAATTGAAAATTGTTCTGTGCAAAGCTGCATATCATTTCCTCAAAATCCGGTGATAAAATATAATATAACAAAAATTGAACGCGAATTATTTTCTCTTTATTTAAAATAAATTCGTAATTTATATATTCATTATTCCATAAGAACACAGAATTCATATTGTCAATATATGTATGTATACATACAGAGGTTTCATAGTATGACTTTCTGACAATAGGAATTCATTGAAAAACCAAAGCGGTTTTCGTTCAGTCGTTGGCTTTCTGGTACGCCTTAGGTATAATTAAACTTTGCAAAACCGGAAGTTGTCGCGAAGAAGGAACAGGGCCACGTTGAACAAAGACATCGTGGGCCGTAACGAATGCTGAATAAACGTGTCTCGCTTTCACCACGCTCGTTCCTTGGGATCTAATTTTTGCTCGGAGCGTAAGCGTAAACGCGGGCGGAAAGGCGATCGAGGGATTGTAATGTTCACAAGCGGCTAATTACGATGAAAATTACGCTCGACCAGATTCTGGACAATTTCGAAGCAAGGCCGCGGGCAGTGGTAATTAGACGTTAGTTCGTTAACGTGACCTAGCACTGATGGAAAACCGGTGCCAGAACTACTGCGCTTTGCGGGATCGCGCGTGCCGCGAGCCCAGCTTTATTAAGTATACCTCGGCCGCTTTTAAAATTCGTACTAACAGTAAAGATGATAGTAGAAGATCGAGTTACCTTTCAACCAATTACTCTGTTATTGCGAGCGTTATCTTCTCGATCTGCAATTACATTAAAAGAACTTTATTATATAATTATCAGTTAAATTTTTCTTAGCTTCTGAGCTTTTACTGCTTTATTTTTCATACTTAATATTAAAAATCACTATTTTCTTTAACTGTATTGCTGTATTTTATTTCCAAATTGTTTTAATTCACAATCGTTTAATTTCTGTTTCAGATTTCTATCTGATGAGGAAAAGGAAGGCCGAGATTCTTAAGGTAAGACTTAGTAGAGAGTCATTAACGAGTCTGTGTGCACTTCTGATGTGCTTACGTAGCCTAATGACAACGCTTTCAAAGAAACGTGCCGCGACTCGATTTAGATGTACAATCCTGCGCCACGCAGCGCCGCCGTTTCTCTGTCCGCTACTGAAATAGAGGCGATTGTTCCACGGACCTGACCTGTACGATACGACTTCTTTTCTCTACTTTCCTTTCCCGTAATGCGTTCTTTGCGTTTTCCACCTCGGATTTTCCGCCTCGATCCGAGATCATCTCCCGTGCTCGCGATTTTCTACCTTATAATCTGGCATCTGACTCGTAACGTACGACATCGAATGACTGCAAAAATTACGTCTCTGTTAGCGAGATTATTCACAGTTAACCATTAAAAATTAAATGCGCTTTTTAGGCCAGTTCACTCGTTACCATCAACTAGATATTTTTATTCATAAAGATTTTTATCGTTCATAAAGCATTCCTTTCATTCTGGCAAGTCTTTGATATTGTTCTAAATTAATTGAGCACTATGGATGGTCTGCAAAATATTGGGATCCATTTTTAGGATTAATTCTGGAAGAGGAACGAAAGCGGGACGATATGCCGAAATGAAAATTTCTATTTGGCTCGTTAATTGTAGTCGAAGCGAGGTTCCCCTTCCATCCAGCTCACGTTGCTCTCTCGGTCGGTTGGTTTAAATTTATTAATTTTTAATAGACCATGGTCAGAAAGTAAAAAACCAACGTTGAAAGTTTCATCATTAGCCCCGCCGACGAGAATGGGATCTTGCTTTTGTTGCGTCCGGAATGAAAGCATAACTTTCGTCAACTACAAAGGAAGTAGAATTAAAATCCTGGACTTCCTTCCATAACGAGGCCTGTTCTTTTTCCATCTTTTTTTCCCGCTGTAAACCTCGTGGAACCGATGCGTCGACCGGGGGCCTCGTCCCAAATGCGGCCGCTATTCGCGGGACTCTAATTGTTCGGTGAAAAAAGTCGGTGCCATCCCGTTCTTGCGACCATTCGGCTAACCTATACAGATTGTTCGGTCATCCTATCGCCGCGTCGTGAACACTTTTGTTGCTTCTGCTTTGTTGCGACGTCGCGCGTCGCGTCAGTTCGGCAAAACTCTCGGAATCAGACAATATCTATTGTATAAGGATTTATTACAATTCTCCAAATTGCTTGTACTGTTATTTTATTTTTTATCAATCAAATATTCGGTATCTCATGATGAACGCTGCTTCTTTAAAAGAAATCGCAAAAAATTCATGAAAAATTGTTTACCCGCCGACAGCTAATTTCCTCGTTTGCATCTTGCCCTGGCATGGCGGACACTCGACACGCAAAGGAGAAAATTTCGAATAAAGCTGTCCGTCTAGCGTTGCCAACGGAATAAGCCACTCGAGCTTCAATCCGTTCCACCTTACGAGAACTATGTTTCCGCTCTCTTTATTAAATCGCCTTACTCCTTGCTTGGAAAAAGTACCGTACAGTCGGCCGGAACCATACTATAGTCAGCCTCTCCTATTTCCCATGAATTCGGTGTACAGAGAACGGACGAGTTTCGAAGCGAGAAGATAAAGAAGGAGAAACCGGTAAAGAAAAATATACGGGGAGAATGAAGGGTGGAGGTGGAACTCGTTCCGTTCTCCGTTTGAAAATTCGCGTCGAATTGTGGTCGCTCCAATCGGCGTGACGTCATCATACAACACGGCTGGATCTTGAAAATTCCAATGAATCGAAAGAAAAAGTTTCCGGTCAGGGTTAATTTCATCCCCATTGAAAGGTGAAAGAAAGTAAAAAGCGGTATAATGTCTTGAAGCGTTTTGATCGCGGCCATTATTTGCCTCAGCCTACCTCGGGGTTACCCCATTTTATTTAGCATTGCTTTCAATCCTGAAATCCCGTTTAAGCGGCCTTCTTTGCAACGAATCTAGTCAATTTATGCTGTAGATTTACCAAACGAGCAGCTGGAACATTCGGGGGATATGGATTGGTGGACTCACGAAGGATAGTTCCTCGGAAATTATCGGAAACTATCCTACACGGTGTAGGAAAAAATTTAGAGCACTCTATGACTGTGAGGGTACTTTACTGTACATAATGTCATCGCTTTGAACGATTTTCAATACGCATACGCTTATGCGGTTCAATCGTATTTGCCATTCTCTCTGGTTTGTGTTTTTAGTAGATTCTCTATGATATCAGGGATCGATCTCGTGACCTCATAAGAGAATTGTGTACAACAGATGTGTGGCTCTTCTCCACTGAATACATGCATGTACGTATTTATGCAAGTAAACTACGAAAACTAGCTTGTAGCGTACGTAAATGTAACGTACGTAACATATTAGAAACGGATGGCTTTCTTTTACATTCATTTTCTGAAATAGTGAAAAGGACGCATCGATCTTTCGAATCACTAATTGTAAATTTAAAAAGGATTAATCGTAGCTCCGCTGATCCAATTGGAAATAAATAACTCTTATTCCTTGTTCCATTTCAGAATTGTACTATTTTCATCATTTGGATGTTTCATTTACGATATTTAATCGGATAAAGAGATTTGTTAAGTGATTTAAGCGTTTATTTTCGGAAGGGAAACTATTGTTGAGAAAAGAACCTATATAAGAAACTTGTTGAGAAAGCCTATTGATGATTTCAACTCAATTGGCGAGGCTGCGGGTTGGTAATTGAAAGTTTCCACATCTTGATTCGTTTATGTACTTCACGGAATTCGCGATCTAAATAGAAAGATAGAAATAGAATACTCACAAGGCACAATACTCCCGAGATGTCAATCGTCAATTTCGACGAAATTTGGCAGAAACGTATTCCTTATAGGATTTATCTGTAATTTGCACATGGTCCTGTAGTATTCGCATTTAAACTTCGAACAAAATATTTTAACATTTAGTATTACAATTACATTTGTCATTTAAACATACATGTTTCGTCAATTTGAACTATTTGTCTATTCCTCATAGTTTTCGACCTACAGGCTAAAATATGTTACGCCACCCTAACTTTGAGGGTGGTTTCCACCCCTCTAATGGCCACGGTTGCCGATAATAAAAGAAGGGTTTAAGTATTTCCGTGTGGATTAGTCTGTTAAAAACCAAAAGCCAAATTACGTAAAAACGACATCTCGGGATAGTCCGTTGTCAGTCTTGCATTTTTTCAATGCTCTGATTTTGTATTAATTCGTAATTAAATTGATCTTGAAAAGTTGATTAAACCACGCGTATTAAATATTTTATTAAGGACACATAAGGAAGTCGCATATCGAGTATTTTAAATAACTATTTAGAAATTTGGATAACTGAAGAGCTCCGTGACTTATCTCTCTATCTTATTTCATTTAATTTTATTTAATTTAAATGTACGCTCTAAAAATGTATTTAAATAATTAGGAAAGCGCAAGCGTGAGGGCACGTATATATGCTAGCGTAGCACGTATTAAAATGAAAGTAAAACGTAAAAAATGTAAATAATGCATATAAAAAACCGCAAGATGAGTGAGGATTCTGATTGTATTACTACTACTATTATTATTATTATTATTATTATTATTATTTCGAGAGGAATATTGTTTTAATTTCTAATTATCTTTCATATTTAAATCCGGGTGTACGCAGAAGAGTGAAAAATATTTTCAGGAATATCCTCTTTTCTGAATCGTTTAATGCACATCACGTTAGCACAGGTCATTGAACGAAAACATCTCTGCGAAACTTTCTCGCGAATTCTAGGAGATCAGTATTAGTATTATCCCTTCCTCCCTTCGAGACTTTCAAAACTGTCACGGAAGAAGTTCTCCAATCGCGAAATTCGCTTGAAAAGCTGCAGGGCAGTTTCGATGGTAGTTGCACGAAAGACTTGCGTAACGTTTATGGAAATATGTAAATTCGTAGAAACGGGATTGAAACGCGGCCGTATTAACGCATTGTACGCGTTAGTTGGACCGGAAGTTGCGCCGTCCCCGCTACTCCGTAACCGCGTGCCTGGCCCGCGAATTTCTGGTAATCCCAGAAGTGGAGAACCGTGTACAAAGCCGCCACGCTGGGTTACTATCTACCGGTGCGGTGGCGTGTACGTACGTGTTCGTGATTTATGGAACGCGCAGTAATTGACTTACATTACGATGCAAATTGCTCCGGTCACGATACCACGCAAAGTACTTGTCTAATTCTTACGAGGAATCTCGTTCTTATGCCCCTTTTTTATATTCCTCTCCCCTCTTTTTACTGTTTTTCGCTGCTTGGTCGAGTGGTACTGCTAGCTACAATTATGTGCGCTCGCAGACGTGGCTTGTGTGTATTAACGGTGTATACATAAAGTGGATGCTAGGCGGTAATTATTCCATCCGTTAGCTGTAGCACTCCTAATGTCCGTATAATAGATCTATTATTAGCCGCGTACGTGTATGGTTGTTTCTTTCGATGTTAACCTAAGTAATAAGTACATTAATTAATATTCTTAGTGCAGAAACCAAGAAAATCTCAATTGGTAGATTGCTGGCTGTTTTACTTTTAAAAAAACAAATGAGTACGACATAGATGGTATTTACAGTAAAATTTCGAAAATTGTCAATTGAATATTGCTGTTTGATCGTACGTATCGGATTGGCATTTAATTTATTATTGATCGTGATTTCCCTTGTTCACGCGAGCAACTGAAAACGAAACACTACTTAGATAAAAAATATCTGTGCGTTTTTCTTAAGACCCGAGCGAGTTTCTTCTGTTTCTCTTTCGTCCCTTCTTAACTTTACCGATGCAATTAAGAAAGTGCGCCAGATCGGACCAGATTCGCCATTGAACTGGAAGAAATAAACACTTTGACGGTAATTTCGTGCGGGGGTGTGGAAAATGGTTTCTTATCGCTTGCTTCCGGAGAACGTTGTTTCCCTTTCTCGCAGCTCCAATTAACCGTGATTTCTTGCCCCGTGTGTTCGTTTCTCTGTTTAGGAAACTGTGAAAGATTGTTGTCGATGATAATTGTAATTTAATCTCCGCAAAAATTTGTTACGAATTAATTTGGAATTGCTGACAATGGTATAATATCGTTACATTTAGTTTCTGCAATTAAATCAATGTTTGTCGAGTGAATTAAATGGAAATGGTCCTCTCATCTTTTGAAAACATTCAAGTCTGTAAATTACAATCATTGAAAACAATTTCATAGTTTGCCTCCAATCAGTTATTCTCATCATGTTTGTTAGCACCAGATCCTCTATTCGAGCTTTATGTAAAATGGAACCTTACGCTTTTCTCGCTTGAATCGTTAATATTTAACGCCACCATGTCTCAAATCCTGCATGCAATATAATTTCAACTAATATAAGTCATACAACATGTTTTGTTACGCAGTCTAGAAACAGTTTAATGCCATTGAAATTGAAGACATTTCACCATCGCAGCCGTAACACTTCCGTCGCTATGATGTTCACTGATTACGAGCTATAAATTCGTATTAAATCCGTGTAGAGCGTCAATTGATGCGTGAAATTGATTAGTAATTACAGGCACAACTCTATCAAATTTAGGACGTTTGACCACTGTGATGTAGCCTTTTCCTACGATGTATGTACTTCGGTACCTACCTACGTATCTACATGTATTGCGGTCTGACCCTGATTACAAATGGTTGCAGCACCGCCTCTGACGCTGTTAAATCCTCAGAGATCTGATGATTACTAGAAAATACATGTATGCAAAACATGTTCCAACTCGACGCTTGATCTTCGCGCTCATCGATTTTATCCATCATCTCATGTTGGGGTTCATTTCTAAATTAACAGTGAAACTCAAAGACAATTTTGATCAGCACAATATCTTCTCGCAATATTTCGCTCATGTACTTGTCACAACCAAACATTCTGTGCGATCGATCGTCAAATAACGTTCTAATGTTAAATCTCGATGGTATCATAAAATTATATACACGTCCACAAGACGAATAACAAACGTATAATTTTTATGTCGACGCTCGTATGTTTATCAATGCATCACGCATCCCTCGATGCGATTTAGAATAATACGTCTGTTCCTCATCGTTATGAAATGTCAATAAAATATCTACAGTTTGAATCATCAATATGGAATCGGGAAAGTAACAAGTATAATCACGTATTCACACAAGGAACTCAGCAGAGACACGAACTACTAAGCTGGCTTCATTTCGCAGGCTCGTGAATCTTTGATTGTTTTCGCGAGAGCATGCTAGTAAGTTAGGCGTCCTCCGCCTCGCCGGAGGCAGAGACGAAGAACGTTATCCAACGATTTATACGTTTATGTGAAGCGAACTCGACTTACTCGGGACCCGCTGAGAAATCTCCTCGAGCATAGTTGATTATTTGCGACTGCGCTCGTAGCTCACTCCGGAAGGATAAGTGCGTATCCGTGTGAACGATGTATCCTTTCTTGCGGTTATAAGGTATGCAATCAACGTGCGTCAGCCATTCGCTCCGGCAGCGTAGGTACAGCCACGCTAGGAAATCCGGATGAAAATTGGCACGGATTTTATTCGCGAATCGCATTATTCTCGGCTCGCTGCTACGAGAGGTCGACCGATTTAGCATCTGTGTACAATGGACCAATCGGTGGGAAGGAATGTTGTTTCGTTGAAAATTTAATTTCGGCCAGTGGACAATTTTTTGCCACTCATCAATTGGAATTGTCCTCGTTTTAAAAATATCTTTGTCGCTGATTTATTTTAAAAATATTATCACTGATAATATCTTATTTCCATCAGCTAAAGGTCAAAGGATAAAATTAATTTGATTTTATATTATTAAAAATTTGACGTCAACTTGGTGTAAACGCAATTGAATCCGAAGGATTTCGGATAAATGCGCGCGACTGGGAAGTTGTCAATTTCAGGACCTCGTTCATTCAACTAATTCAACGAGTCGTCCGTAATTCCCGTGACCTGTTATTTTTCGCAACAATCCCGTACCAGCGGAATACAAAATTCGCTGGAGTCTTTAACTTTGTATGCCCAGTATTCCCGGGACAAAGCACCGTTCTCCGCTAATGTACAATAATTCATCACACCGCGACCTGCGAAGCTCGCAGCTTCCTGTAAGTTTCAACGTTGCGGCGCAACAAAAACTGGCAACTTTGCAACGGAGAAAGCTAGCCCAGTGCCAGCTCTAGGTGTCGTCGAAAAGTTTCAACGACAATAAGGACGCTGAAATTTTCCTCTACATTTCAGATCCTTTTGTGTTCCTATGAAAAACGAATCTTACCTCCGGTCGTCGGACGGAGGTCGCTGAAAAGGGGAATTGTTCCGGTCACGGGACGGCTAATTTTATTCGCGATCTGACGTTCATAATCACTCAAATTGGATGCGAACAACAGGGTAAATATTTTCTGTCTCAATTATGTACGTTTTAATTTCACTAACTGAGGGATATTACTCACCGAGAAAGCTTTGTTATTTTAAGGCGCCGTACTATTTGTACAACTTATTTTAACTGTTTTACATCGTTTTTAAACTCTTGTAATTTTGTGAATCTTGTAAAATTGTCAAGAGTATTTTATAAAATGCTTCACATTGAAGAAAACGGTGATTATGCAAGCATTAGTTTTATGTTATCTAAAGTACATTGTCCAATTCGCTCTTTTTCGAACATCCCTAATTATCTTCCTGTTTAATTACGTCGACGGCGTGTCGATTCACAGATTTTGCAGACTTTCTACTTTCACCTCGTTAAACACTTTATCGGCGAGCTGAAAATACCGTGTCTGGTTTTTAGCTCACACATGCTTCTTAGACACGCACATGGAGAGGTACAGTAGTCTGCATCATCCCTTCGTTTCGTGGTCGGCTTTTCTTTCCCAGATGGCCGAGGTGCCTAAGTAACGACGCCCGGCTACGGCTACGTTTCATGAATATTGACGATCGGAGGGCGCCCGATTCATATTCTTGTTTCTAATCGAGCTCTCCGTCACTCTCCATTTTTCATCTCCTATCAACGGAACAAAAAAGCCCACCCTCTTTGGTCGCATACGCTCGATCCGCTCTCTTACCTCTTCCTCGTATTTCTTCGGTCTTCTCGTGCTCAACAAGAGTACAATGCACGCCTCGGGACTTTTCGGCTGAGGTTCATCACGTTGCCTAACGATCCGACACATCAACTTATCTCCTGTCAATAAAGACGAACGTTTTATTATATGTATAGCGTAGACTACATTCTCAATTCGTTTTACCACTTGTAGTTGGTGTAAAAACTATTCATACGCAAAGCACAATAACTTTTTGATTTAACCGCATGATTTGAAGCTTTTGAGAAGTTAGGAAGTCTAGTAGATAATGTATAACAAGATTGTCAAAAAGTTGCATTTGGTAGAAATCAGAAGCAAAAAAATATTTCTTATCAGAGTTTATAATGAAATAAGGTATCACTCACTCAAACCATCCAAGACAAATTTTAAATTGATCTTCCGTAATTTATATTGTTTTTTATGAACTTAAAACGCTCGACAGCAAAAGTGTTACGACATTATCTAATTTCTTCTGAATTTTCGGTCGAGCAGCGCGTAATGTAAACTGTATACACTGCAGGTATAGGCACACCCGATGACACACAATATCTTGGACGCTACTCGTCCCTGCGCGATGCGATTACGTTCCAGTGTCTTTATCATCTTTACCGTTCTATTCGGTGGCACTTACGATAACGGTGTCGTATCGCTTCGCTGCCATCGTCTAGTGGAATTCGATCAAAGAGGAAGACACCCGCCTCTGTTGCTCGCGTGTTTGCGAAAAAATTGGTAGTAAGCTTGTGAAAGGAGACTTTCACGATCCTCCATCCTTCGCGATAGCCCATGCACGAGCGCATATCTAAAGTGTCGTCCTCGCTGTCTTCGATCCCCTTTGGCGAACCATTAGTGCGTTGAATGATTAATGGAGTATTCCCGACAGGCGGAGATACTGACTGACGTGCAGTAATCGTGTACGAGGTCTTTTTCTTGTTTTCGACGGCGCAAAGGAAATTTGTACTTGTGCATCTAAGAACATGAAACAGACCGAAGGTCGAAAAATAAATTTTCGCCCATTCGAGATTCTGTATAAGAAAAAACTCGATCAAGGAATGGAATGTTTGGCAGAATTAGTTAAATTTAGGTAACCGCGAATAAATCAAACCGCTGGCGAGGGCCTTTAAGTTTTGGCTAGCGTGTCGTTACATCGTTCAAACTTAGAAATGAACTTCGTAACCTATTCCGTAGCCGAAGGATTGCCGTTTTATTGGACCCGGCATCGAGCACGCGATTTCCAGATCTGTTTATCTTAAAAAGGGGCCCACGACGCAATAAATCGCAAACAGCGACGTCTGATAGCGATAAAGGGCCGTACGATTAATATCTGAAGGCCGGCTATTTTGTTCGCCGGTAAAACCGGGAGACGCACACGCGCCGTAATTACACGGCTACACGCGATTACGCGTGTCAGACATTTGGACATTTTGCCTATCGAAGAGATCTGTTTTTTTTTTTAGAGTTAGGTTAGAGACAGATTTTGAGGAAGTTCGATTGTTCATTGTTTGCTTGATTTACCGTGAAGTCTAGATGATGATATATTCAAAAAGAATGGGACACGCACCTTTTTCAGGGGAAAGGAAACGCGCGCACAAGTGTTGGGAATCCGACGCGAAGAGTGCGTGAACGTTTTTTTTAGGAGTGAATAAAGTTATCCTGACAATATCTAGGATTCTCATTTCAATCCAGTTCCTGGAAAATGTCGTGAATATTACTTTCTGAGTTATTCGCGATAATGTTTACGATACTGTGTGCTATAATTAATTGATTGCAATGGTTTTTGAATATGTTATATTCTTAAGATCTTCCTTATGAAATGGAGTAGAGTACGCTGCCGCGAAATGCTCCGTGATTTTATAACAAACCCTACGGCAACCAATAGCGGCTAAAGTTATAGTGATGAATTCAATTACCGAAGTTTGTAAAACTCTAACTTTTCCTTTAAATAAACTGATTGTTTGTTTAAGGACTTCTTAATCTATTCCAATTTCGCACTCATCAGATACAACTTCGATTATCATAATATCGATCGTCGTACGGTTGAGTTATAAAATTGTGGCCTTTAGCTCTGGAAAATGTGGGGCTACCTGACCAGGGTACTCTGTTTTATAAGGAAGTTGTTCAGAATATTGGTTTTTATAACATATTTATAAACTATCGCAATCAGGGAGGGAGCGACTAAATAAAATGTACTTACAGTACATAGTCAACATTTCGAAAAATAGTGAAGGGTACATGGCACGTTAATTCCAGATATATGCAAGTGTTGTAAGTACGAATATGGCCAGAAGTTATTGAAGGTCGGAAATTAATTCATACGCCCAATGTATTACATGTTACAAAAAATAATTGAAAACTTCTTCAAGAATTCAAGTTTTTCCTCTTGTCACGTTTGATTAAACGGTGAACCATGGTCTTTGCCTTCGCCTTTCCTTACCGAGCGACAGCTGAGTTTGAGGGCAAACGCGGCGGAGATCGATAAACCACAAGGCGAGTATCAGCGACACTCTGTCCCTGGTACAGCTATTGTTGTTATTTTCTTGTTGGTCAATCGACATTTCAGTAATTGACGCTACCACCGGGTAGTTGATTGCGTTACTTCGGATACAATAACACTATGTGTTCGTTGATATCGTTACTTTATTACGGATAAACCTGTGCTGATTGCGTTTGTTACGGTTCCTACTTTTCAAATAAATGAGAACCTTGAACGTGCTACCTCAGCTGTTGAAAGTCACTTTCGATTAAATAATGCGTATTATTTCTCAATGGACTGTGAAGTAATAGACTTTAATTAAACTTTGCGATGAACTCAAATAAATCAAATTACCCCGACAAACATACATACGTACAAGGTTTACACCCTGTATATACGTGTGTGTGTGTGTAACCGCGTCACGGTGATAATTATCGATTACTATCTGCTCAAGTTATTCACTGCTGTTAGTATTTAATTTACTTAGTACAGATTTCTACTTTCATGTGTGAAATCGATTCTACACAGGCCATTGAATGTTTCGTTCAAAGTTAATAGCTCGGTGAAGCCGGTAATACCGGTGAAACGTTTCAATATTGCCTGCCATTTGGAACTAAAGTACATACCGTTTGATCTGTTGATGATGCTTTTTAAAAATAAAAGTATTATAAAAATGAAATGCCAAGTGCGCAAAAAATGCATTCAATGGCGGGAGCGGGCTTGTCCACAAAATGTTTCAAATCGAAGACAGTATACAACTTTGAAATATTGGCGGTAGGTATCGAGTGCATTAGAATAACAATCCTGAGTCGCGAATCCATTATCGTAAAAGTGCGCAGATTGCGCTGGGCCTTAAACGGTAGATAGTCGTCGGACGTTGATATACTGATAGTTTTTCCGAATTGGGTTGCTTTGCCAAAACCATGCCGCGTGATTTACCGTACACCTTGTTGGCTACTCTTACTATTGCTAACGTGCGCGAGCAATCTGCGAAAGAGAACGAGTATCGAACACGAGCGCATTTATCGAAGACAGTATACAACTTTGAAATATTGGCGGTAGGTATCGAGTGCATTAGAATAACAATCCTGAGTCGCGAATCCATTATCGTAAAAGTGCGCAGATTGCGCTGGGCCTTAAACGGTAGATAGTCGTCGGACGTTGATATACTGATAGTTTTTCCGAATTGGGTTGCTTTGCCAAAACCATGCCGCGTGATTTACCGTACACCTTGTTGGCTACTCTTACTATTGCTAACGTGCGCGAGCAATCTGCGGTAGAGAACGAGTATCGAACACGAGCGCATTTAAGTACATTCGATCTCGTATACAAAATAAGACAGAATGGAGAATGCAAATCGAACGGATTTAAGATTTTAATCTTTGTGGATAATAATTTCGGGATTTGTTTGTACGACAGCGACATATACTTGACAAGTATTAATTGATAAAAAAAAATTAATGAAAACTTGAATGTATAAATGTAGACGACATACATATATTAAACGATTGTCGTGTCTAAAAACGATTAAATCAGTGCTCCATAGTACATACATACAACAATGTCTCTTTCAAAAGATAAACGAAGTAAGGGGACACGCATCCTTTTGTGGTAATGATTCGGAACAACGCGAGGATAACATGAACGATATAGCCGGTCGGACTAACAAAGTGTTGTGGACACTAAGTATACATATGTTCACGTGTATTTCCAACCAGGCGGCAAAGGAACCTTAGATTCCACGTTCGAGCTGCAACTCGGTTTTAACAGCATGTCGTGTTTAAACAGCTGTCACGCATTCGACTTTTTCTCGGTCATCCACCGATCAAATAAATGTTCCGGACGTGTCCCCCATATCTAATCGTATTATCGCTGTTTACGCTTTACAAACAAGTTTTTTTGTAACTTTTGAAACCGCGCTTTTCCGCGAATTCGCGAGATCCTGGCTTAGCTTGATTTATGCATATGTATATACGTGTCAGATTTTAAGCGTTACAGATTTTGCGACCATGAAATTGTTTTACATTGATATTTGGAAATTATCAATCGATAAGAATGGAGTTTATTGATGTCAATATAACTCGTCGGTAATTGCCTCGTTTTATATTTACGTTCTGTATAATTTCCAAGGTATTATAGGTACAACACTAGTGGTAACCAAGTGTTGCAAGCCTGTCCTTCACGGCAATTCGGGCCGTCCGTATCGAAAATTGATTTGACAAGTAGGTTCCTAGACCATCTTCCACTGAAAAGGGATAGGCGGGGATTTCATTGCACAATTTGCAGCAGCGTAACTGCAATGTGCCTCTATTTGTGTCAGGATTGCCATTTCTCCGGATTTTGAAACAAATCTTCGAGCTCAGGATTTATTGAAAAAAATCTCCGGGTTGTGGATAAAAAAAAGAGAAAGAATAATTTCCCTCTCGTAATTACGAGTACCCGAACTGTATATGTTGGTCAAACTTCGGGGACACTGCTGAGGATCCTTCTCGTCCCAAGGCTCGAGTGCCTGATATTTTCGAGTACCCGTACACCCTTAAAAGAATTTTTTTATTTTCTGCTGAAATCAAATAAAAAAACTTGGATAGAACGTGCAATCTCTAATAAGAAATACAGTTGGATAGATTTCGCAGATTCGAGTAGATTAGATTAGATTAGATATAAATTTCATTATTATTTTTATTTATTAATATTAAAAACGGATATTTTCCATCTCCGCGTATTTATATTCGAATCTCCAGATTCGGTGTGTAAACAATCCGGGACTTATGTAATAATAAGGTGGAAACCACGGCTTGTATACGCGCTTTTCGCGAGGCAGTAGCGGGCGCTGTTTTCATCTAGGAAAAGCTCACATTTGCAGAATGTTAATCCAAGGAAATTCGCTATTTAGATACCGCGACAGGGGTTGAAGACACGCCAGTCTCATTAGCTCGCTGCTCTTCGTGAATATCATCGAGTAGTCTTTGCAACAAGGCATTCGGAACGTTCATCGCGTAAATAGGTCTGTTGTTGGAAGGATCTTGAAAAGTGAAAAGTTAAATGCTAACCAAAGAGAAACCTGATCCTTTGACTGTGAGTCCTATGAAAATGTCAGTTCATTAACTTGGTTTTACATCAAGGAATAAACGAATTTAATCGTAAGTGCTCCTTGCTTTCTTTTTCAGAATATCGAGACAATTTTAAGAAATTTGTTTTGTCAATTTTTTACCATGCAGATAACTTGTTAGTACATAATATATGACGTAAAGGGAATATCCATCCTAATTTGTAAATTCATCATTTTGAGTACTCGCTGCTTCCTCTT